CAAAAATAGAAGAGGCGCCGCTCTCCTAATCTCAAGAGCCAGACTCCCAACATGATTGCTTTCTCAAAAATTGAAAAGGCACCTTTCTCCAAATCTCGAGAGTCAGATCCCCGACAGGATTGCTTGTTCGAAAACTGAAGAGGCACCGCTCTCCGAACTTCAAGAGCTAGATTTCCTTGGATAAAGCTTGTCTGCAATCTTCACACACAACATCAGCTTTCTAGATACCACAGACCAATTTTTTCAAAGTGCTCTGACAAAGTTAAAACACGTGAATCTTGCAGCTTCCACTACATTGCTATGACCGAGAAGGGTAAATGAACAGCGTTACCACTCGCTATTGGGACAATTCTTATATATGTCGACCTTCATCCTCTACAGCCAGGCAGACCTACAAATAAATAAAAAATGCTCAACTTTTTTTCACATCCGAGAGGGCACTCTCAGCAGAGTCTCTCGAAATACTCAGCTTCTTTTCCCCCCGATAATACATTTGCAAACAAGCCACACCAGAGCAAGAGTATCTCATATCATCAGGGTTAAAAGCAAGAGTAACCCATATCATGCTTTTTCCTTGTCTTTTCCTTTGGCCTTGTTCTTACCTACAAGATAAGGAGAACGAGAGCAATCAGTCAACACTTGGAATCAAGCTTCCAGTCAAGAACTGACTGCCTGGAACCCCTTGCCTGATTACTTACCTGGCATTTCTCTCAAGTACTCATCTTCAACATCTTATGCTTCCAGAGAAGATACCACATTTGCCTGAGGAACAGTTAGGGCAAGTGGGAAGGATACAAGGAAGCATGTAGAGACAAGCGTAACAGAACACGTGCCGATACATCCATTACTTTGTCAACAGCAAAAGTATCCCATATCATCAGGGTCGAACGTACTCTAGATTTGATGGACTTGTTTTGACCCTCAAATTCTTGAGTCGGCCTTATACTCTGGAGGAAACCAGAAAACCCTCCAGCCCAGTTCAAGAATAAGCCTGTGGAAAGTTACTTATTCAAAAGCAAAAGTATCTCATATCATCTCTTCTCATTTTTCTTTTCTTTATCCTTCTTGCTGCCTCCAAGATAGGGAGAATGAGAACAATCAACCGGAACTCGAAATCAAAGTTCTGATCTGAGACTGATTGCTTACCTTGTCTGTCACCTCTTTCGACAAATCTCCTAGCTTAGCGACTTGGGGCACTCCTACTACATGGTTTGTATCGCGCTTGACCAAGCCTGAAACTATAAGTAAGCTTCAAGTGAAATTGATATATTATCTTGTGCATCTCCACCGGTTAAAGATACCACCCCTGGATGGAGGAAGAGTACTTCCAGAGAAGATGCCACATTTACCTATGAGATAGATAAGGCAAGTGAAGACGATACCACACTTTGGTACTTAGAAGTTTCGTGAATACTCAGCAGCTTGGATCTTGCAAGTCCCCAACCGAGGAGCTTCCCTCACTCAGGAACTTAGGGGAGTACTGTTTGTACCATACTTGACCAATCCCAATACTACTGAGCACCGGTCAACGTTATACCGTCAAGGACCTAAAAAAATTTCCCTCCAACCAGAAGGCCAATCACAGTGCGACACGTGTTGAAATCAGAAGCCAATCACAGCGCGACACGTGTCAACATCAGAAGCCAATCACAACACGACACGTGTCAATGTCAGAACAAAGCTAGAAACTCTTCTATAAAAGGAGATCATTCTCCCACAATATTTTCTAATGTCATTTGTACTAAATCATTCACTAGTACTCACTAAATGAGAGCTTGAACCTATGTACTTGTGTAAACCCTTCACAATTAATGAGAACTCCTTTACTGCGTGGACGTAGCCAATCTGGGTGAACCACGTACATCTTGTGTTTGCTTCCCTGTCTCTATCCATTTGCATACTTATCCACACTAGTGACCGGAACAATCTAGCGAAGGTCACAAGCTTAACATTTTATGTTGTACCAAAGTCCTCACTGATTTTGTGCATCAACAGGTAAGAACAAACCTGTCAACCCAGAGAGCAGAGTTTTTCCTTTCTTTGGTCTTAGATGTCATTTTACAAGAGAGTAAATTTGGTATTAAATTTTTTATTAAAAAGTGGGTGAGGAAATAAGACACTTGGGTGAGTTTATCACCACTCAAAAGCTATATGAGTTTAAATAAAATATCCCTTAAAAATATTTCCATACTATTGAGATTTGGAAAATTTTATTTGAATCCATATTACCTCAATCTACACCAACTTAGGCTTTAAATGTGAATTATCTTTTTTACCCCATTGTATAATTACCATAAAGTACAAGATGAAATTAACACTTGAATTAAAATTTATCAATATACCCACACCTAATAATCAAACCCTAACCATTACACAATCTTTCATCGTTCTATTCTAGCTAAAACCTAAGACGCTCTCTTAGAGAAAAACCAAACTCTTTTTGACGGATGGATGATGATTATGAAATTTTGAATCCTCCAATTAATGTATGATTCAATTTATGCAAGTTTTTTTAATTTGATTTTAATTTTTTGTTTAGGGTTTAGGAGTACGTATTGCCTGCAAAAAAGGAACCCAAGTTTGTGTTCTAAACAAAAGAAAGAAAAAAGGGATTTATGCCCTAGCTTTTGCCGTGAGAAAGAGGGAGAGTTAAAGGAATAAGGGTCTTTGATTGGTGGGGTTATGCTAAAATTAAGGGTTAGCTTGCATCCATGCGATTATCCATGGGGTGCATTCTTCATTCTAACGTGTTTTTGTTGTGTAAAGGAAAAATAGTTCTTCATTGGTGGGATTAATTCTCACCAGTTCTTATTAATTTTGATTTTGATTTCAATTGAATTATGAAGAACTGAAAGGAAAGACGAGACTTGTTGGAAGGAGAAAACATCAAAGGAGAGAACATATGTTTTGATTTTCGGTTTTTATCTTTTAAAGGGTGAACTACCAATTTAGTTCTTAAATTATCACAGCAGTAAAAATTAGGTCCTTAAATTATTTTTTCGATAAAATAAATCCCTAAATTCATTACAAGCTGCTTTATTCAAATTTTTTTCCACTTCTCATATGACACATTATATAGGGTAATACCGTCATTTCATCGCCTATAAGCACTTAAAGTTGCATCTAGATTGTGGACATAATGTCTAATCTACCATCCAAAGTTAATTCCATACACTATTTCTTAGAAAAAAAAATTAAGTCCTTAAACTTGCGAAAACTACCAACCTACCTTCACGTGAGTTTAATTGACTTAAAATTTAATAAAATAGCTTCAAATCTAATATTAGGAATGTAATTGGCAGATTTTTGTAGTTTATGACTGATTTTTCTAAAAAAAATTAGGGACTTAATTTTCACTCATATGATAATTCAGAGACTAAATTTGCAGCTCACTCTCAAGTAAATCTGCAGTTCACTCAGACGATAATTCATGGACTAAAACTAGAGAGCAAATTTGATGTAGAATGAAGTTATATGGTTTCAAATAAAAATTTCTCTTGATATTTTCATTATTATAAAGAAAATAGTGGTACATCCATAGAGAACAGATTGGGGCAGAGATTTGCTCAATGCTCACTTTTTTAACAAACAGATAGGGAGAAAAAAGTGAAGATGGGCTTTGAGAAAGCAGAAGACAAAACCTGTACAAGATTAATGGTGTTGTTTCTGCAGATATTAGGAGAGTAGAGATTATGATTCAGATTGCTGAGATTTGCTAGAGTTTGAGATATGAGCATCGAGAAGAAGGTTGACCTACGCTCGCTTATTTAATTGTATATTTAAGTTCTTTTTTAATTGTTAAATACCAAATAAAAAAGTTAATAAAGTTATCTCTCGGTTCTTTTTTAATTGTCAAAATATTAGCAAAAAGATACAATAGAAACACATAAACAAAGACAGCTGACCCATGGCCATACACAGCAGTGTTGTGGTTACGTTAGAATTTTCTTCCTTATAAAGCACGTCTCAAGTACATAGCGAGGTTACAATCATACTGAAAATTTCTCCTTTATAAAGCACATGTCTAATGTTACATTTACATGTGATGATTTGGATGATTCAAAATGCATAAAGGGCGTGGGAATTCAATCAATTGAAATGTCAAAGAACTATCTTAAAAGTGGAACTCTTCATGAACTCTCCGTTACCTCATGTTTTTAGCACAATGTTTTATATTGTTATCACAAAATTGACATTAAACTGTAAGGTGACAAAAGAGTCTCACTTTGAAAGAGGTCTCCTTAACAATTTTCTCTAGTCAAAAAAAAAAAAAAAAAAAAAAGGAAGCAGACGAAGACGAAAGGTTGAACGTGGACCTGGACAAAAGGGCAAAATAGAAGATAAGTAAAGCAAGGACTGTGTGGAATGAGATAACTTAATACTTTAGACGTAACTAAAACGAGTTTCTTGTTGTCATTGGAGCCAAATATATATTGATATTGAATTTAAAGCATCCTATTTTTGAATACTATGTGAAACTTTCACACTTGCAACTCCTAGTTCTAGAGTCTTTTTATAGCCTCCCTTTTTGCGTAATACGAAGAATTGTCACTAATATTCTTTTTATAGTTAAGTATCGGTGATACTTGAACGCATAATTTCTTCCGATAAGAATGTTAAAAACAAAAATACAACCAACAAAGTAAAACCTCAAGGATATTAATCGTAAATCTTATTGCAACCACAAAATAAAAATAGTTTGACATCATAATAGAGTAATACTCTGACTTGATTAATATATTGCCTAACCATACAATTTCTACAGTATCATAAAAATCATTCATCTTGCTCACTACTACCACCTCAATATATCCAAATTAATGTCAAAATCCTTGGCCAAAAGCAAACTGAACACCCCACAATAAACATAGGACACAAACGTTGTCATTTTCAGTCCATATTCAAAGTTGGCACTCGCTAGATCAAAAAAGAGCTGCCGACGTTGGTGAGGTCCAAACAAATGGCTTCTCAAACTTTTCTCGTTCAGTGTTCATGTACTTCTCGTTCTCCACGTCCCTACTCCTTCCTACTAGATCTCTGCAACAAAACACTGCTTTTTTTCCCATTATCTTCAAACATATTTCCTTTTCTTTTATTCACTTCCTTCTCATTCTCCCACGATGTTGTCCGCTACACTTTTGTTTTGGTCTTTTTATTTTAATTTCTTTCTTTTCGGTTCCTTTCAGAAATAGCTTCTGTTTTTTTTTTTTTTTTTTTCGGTAAAGAGAAATAGCTTCTGTTATTAATACCAAATTCGAAACACTGAATGCTTCCTAGGAAAAGGGGTTGCCTTTGCACTTAGACATTTACTCAGTTTTGGTGTTTGTTCAACGTATTGTCTGTGCATTGTTTAATTTGCAAGTTAAGAGAGGCTTCTGCCTGAAAATTTAATTAAAAACTTAAAAGACTTTTAAGGTTGCTTCGAGTAATTAAGGACTGAATTCTTTTTGTTTTCAATTTTCCCTTGATTGGTTTTATGAAAAAGGCATGTTACAGTTGAGAATTTGGTTTTATTCTTTTTTATGAGTGTGTTTAATTCAAAGTTACACAGAAGTGAGGCTGCACAAATTTGGATTTTTTTGCCCTTATCTTTGACATTCAATTGATTGTATGAATTTTAGGTGGGTGTTGGAGGTTTGCTGTGCAGCTGCCAAGTTTCACTTCTTGGGTTTTCTGGATTTGGGGTTTTGGTGCTTTAATGACACTTGAAGAGGCATTAGCATTTTGGGGTTGTAAAAGTTGAGATTTTGTAGATCTGAGGAGTAATGGTAGTTGGGTTTTCTCTTTTAGTTTGAAAGATTACTGCTTTTTTCTCAAGTTTAGGAGTTTGGTTAAGAATAGATCTTTGATTGTGTCACTGGGATTTGTTGAGTTGGGAGAGGTAGAATTCTGCTCGTTTTTTACAAAATGGGGCATTCAGCCGCAGAATGTCAATACAGGGCAGCAATTGAGATTACAAAAGATAGGAATGGGGTAGAACAGGTAGTGCTCCAGAACCAACAAGGGGCTTCGGCACGGGTGAGATTCGAGAATCTCTTCTTTTCGCCATTGATTAAGTTTCCCAAGGCTATGAATTTGGAGTTTGTCCTTAAATTGTTAGTTCATAATGTGAAATTTTCTGTTCCTATACCACGTCGGTTTCTGTATTAGTGGGGTGATTAATGATTTCTCTTCTGATAACGTAGGTTAGCTTACATGGAGGACAGGTCACTTCGTGGAGGAATAAGCACGGCCAAGAACTCCTGTTCACTAGTAACAAGGTATAACTTTTCACTTCCTATTGTATATATTTTCCATCCATTTGTTTATTTTGTACAATTTTGTGGCTGTCATAGTTGAAAGCATTTGATTTCGTCTTTTATCATGGCATGGATATTGTTCTATGTTTTATAAATGTTGTTTGTCTAATTATTCAGACAAATAATCACAAGATATGTATAGAACCACCTTTCAAGGGTTATAACATTTTCCAGATCAAACCGGAGTTTTCAATTCATAAGACTTGGTTGATTGGTGAAGAACTAATATTCTCCGTACAATGGAGACTGGACGTAGAACCAAAACTGGGTTGACCGAGTACTCTGCTTTAGGATAATCTAATCTGTGCTAGTTCATAGTTTATGAATGAGTTTGAATCAGATTTCCAGTTGGATCAGAACTTCAACTGCATTTTATATTTGATACAAAGCTATGTCCTGATACATACTAGAGGTAACTTTGCAGCCGATATTTGGCACAATGCAGTTACTGTTACAAGAGTAGTTTAAGACATATCTTACCTACTAGAGATATGGATAATAGATTCTTTTTAACATGCGTTTCATCAACCATAGGCAATCTTCAAGCCCGCAAAAGCGATGCGAGGAGGAATTGTCATTTGTTTCCCACAGGTATTATCAATTATTCCTGTATAAACTATCTGTTTAAAAAGATACTAAAAAGTGAAAACTCCAACTAATGCTTTTAATTAATCCTTTTGAAGTTTGGGAACTGTGGATCGCTAGAACAACATGGTTTTGCGAGGAACAAGGTGTGGGCAATTGATGATAATCCTGAAATGCATCAACCAAACGATTCGAATGGAAAATCCTTCATTGATCTACTACTTAAACCGTCTGAAAACGACCTGAAGTGTTGGCCCCATAGGTATGAGCTTGGATGCAGTATTCTTATATAAAACTACAATAAGCTCTCTCATTAGGTAAAGGGGACAAGCACCTCGTTTCCTGTCGATTGAAATTTGTATGGTCTATTTTTTACCAAAAAGCAAATCCTAGATAATTGTTTTCTCATTTCTTTGTTCCCTTTGCAGTTTTGAGTTTCGACTTAGGGTGTCTCTTGCAACAAATGGAGATCTGAACCTGACATCACGAGTTAGAAATGTCAACAGCAAGCCATTTAGTTTCTCCTTTGCCTACCACACTTATTTTTCGGTTTCTGATATAAGGTATGTAGCTATTATTGTTGAATTCACAATGCTATTTTGTTGAATTCACAATCATTTGCCTTCTGGTTGTTGCATATGTGCTTCCATTATAGGCATGTGTTACGATTTTTTAACATGAAAATGACTTCTGTCCATAGTGAGGTGAGGATAGAGGGGCTGGAGACACTTGACTACTTAGACAACCTTTGTGAAAGAAAATGCTTTACAGAACAAGGAGACGCCATAACATTTGAGTCTGAGGCAAGTTTCTTACGCATATGAAATTGCTTTTACATATAATGCAGGAAGTTGCAGTCCGTGAATATGGTGAAGTCTTTGCACAAAGTCCGTGAAAGTTTATCCCATACGTTCACTTCGTTCATTGTCTCATTCATTTGCCGTTGTTTCTAAAATTTTGAGTCAAATTTGAAGGTAATTCGGAAACAATAGGAGTTGGCATTTGGCAACAAGTCATTAATTGATTTCTGCATATTGTGATATTAATTGTAAGTGGTATGGAAGAATAAGTACGATTCGACCTCCCAGAACAGTATTATATTCATAATGTTTTCTTCCCAACTCATTCAGTCTCGACTTTCTAATGTGTTCGAGACAAGTATTAGCTAATTTTTGATTTTCTTGCTAGTAGTGTTGATGCAGTATGAGTTTTTGGCTTATAGATACAAAAACTTTCCCCTTGCAGGTCAGTCGACTTTATCTAAGTTCGCCCAATGTAGTTGCAGTCCTTGATCATGAGAAAAAACGAACATATGTAATCAGAAAGGAAGGACTACCAGATGTTGGTAAGCTGGCACATATTTGATATTTTCACTATTTTTTATACTTATGGAAAGTGAAATTCTTAGTGTTGTTATGTCAACCAGTACAACAACAACAACAACAACAACAAAGCCTTTTCCCACTAAGTGGGGTCGGCTATATGAATCCTAGAACGCCATTGCGCTCGGTTTTGTGTCATGTCCTCCGTTAGATCCAAGTACTCTAAGTCTTTTCTTAGAGTCTCTTCCAAAGTTTTCCTAGGTCTTCCTCTACCCCTTTGGCCCTGAACCTCTGTCCCGTAGTCACATCTTCGAACCGGAGCGTCAGTCGGCCTTCTTTGCACATGTCCAAATCATCGGAGCCGATTTTCTCTCATCTTTCCTACAATTTCGGCTACTCCTACTTTACCTCGGATATCCTCATTCCCAATCTTATCATTTCTCGTGTGTGCCCACACATCCCACGAAGCATCCTCATCTCCGCTACACCCCATTTTGTGTACGTGTTGATGCTTCACCGCCCAACATTCTGTGCCATACAACATCGCTGGCCTTATTGCCGTCCTATAAAATTTTCCCTTGAGCTTCAGTGGCCTACGACGGTCACACAACACGCCGGATGCACTCTTACACTTCATCCATCCAGCTCGTATTCTATGGTTGAGATCTCCATCTAATTCTCCGTTCTCTTGCAAGATAGATCCTAGGTAGCGAAAACGGTCGCTTTTTGTGATCTTCGCTAGATTGCTCCGGTCATTAGTGTGGATAAGTATATAAATGGATAGAGATAGGAAAGCAAACACAAGATGTACGTGGTTCACCCAGATTGGCTACGTCCACGGAATAGAAGAGTTCTCATTAATTGTGAAGGGTTTACACAAGTACATAGGTTCAAGCTCTCCTTTAGTGAGTACAAGTGAATGATTTAGTACAAATGACATTAGGAAATATTGTGGGAGAATGATCTCGTAATCACGAAACTTCTAAGTATCGGAGTGTGGTGTCGTCTTGACTTGCCTTATCTGTCTCATAGGTAGATGTGGCATCTTCTCTGGAAGTACTCTTCCTCCATCCAGGGGTGGTATCTTTAACTGGTGGAGATGCACAAGGTAATGTATCAATTTCACTTGAAGCTTACTTGTAGTTTCAGGCTTGGTCAAGCGCGATACAAACCATGTAGTAGGAGTCCCCCAAGTCGCCGAGCTAGGGGGTCTGCTGAAAGAGGTGACAGACAAGGTAAGCAATCAGAGCTCCGACTGATTGTTCACCTTCTCCCCATCTTGCAGCAGCATGAAGGATAAAAGAGAAGAAAAATGAGAAGAGATGATATATGAGATACTTTTGCTTTTGAAGAAGTAACTTTCCACAGGCTTATTCTTGAACTGAGCTGGAGGGTTTTCTGGTTTCCTCCAGAGTATAAGGCCGACTGAAGAATTTGAGGGTCAAAACAAGTCCATCAAATCTAGAGTACGTTCCACCCTGCTGATATGGGATACTTTTGCTTTTGACAGAGTAATGGATGTATCGGCACGTGTGCTGTTACGCTTGTCTCCACATGCTTCCTTGTATCCTTCGCACTTGCCCTATCTGTTCCTCAAGCAGATGCGGAATCTTCCCTGGAAACATAAGATGTTGAAGATGAGTACTCGAGAGCAATGCCAGGTAAGTAATCAGGTAAGGGGTTCCAGGCAGTCAGTTCCTGGCTGGAAGCTTGATTCCAAGTGCTGACTGATTGCTCTCTTTCTCCTTGTCTTGCAGGTAAAAACAAGGCCAAAGGAAAAGACAGGGAAAAAGCATGATATGGGATACTCTTGCTTTTAACCCTGATGATATGAGATATTCTTGCTCTAGTATAGCTTGTTTGCAGAGGTATTATCGGGGGGAAAGAAAGCTGAATATTTCGAAAGGCTTCGTTGGGAGTGCCCTCTCAGATATGATGAAGGGTTGAGCATTTTTGCAGGTCTGCCTGTCCGTTGGGGATGGAGGTCGACATATATAGGAGTCTCCCTAACAACAAGTAGTAATGCTATTCCTTTACCCTGCTTGGTCATAGCACGGTAGTGGGAGCTGCCAGTTTCACATGTTTTAACTCTGTCAGAGCACTTTGAAAAAGTGGTCTGTGGTATCTGGCTCTCGAGATTCGGAGAACGATGCCTCTTCGATTTTTGAGAAAGCAATCATGCTGGGGGTCTGGCTCTCGAGATTCGGAGAGCAGTGTCTCTTCGATTTTTGAGGAAGTAATCATGTTGGGAGTCTGGCTCTCGAGATTCGGAGGGCGGTGCCTCTTCGATTTTGGAGCAAGCAATCCTTGTTGGGAGTGTTGTCTCGAATGTGAGTAAAGGTTGGGCATGTTTGCTAGTCTACCTTGCCACGAAGCACAAAGGTTGACACACACAGGGACTTTCCAATTATCCAGCAATGGTACTGTTCCTTTACCCTCTCTTCGATTTTGAGAAAGTAGTCATGTTGGGAGTCTGGCTCTCGAGATTCGGAGGACGGTGCCTCTTCGATTTTGGAGCAAGCAATCTTGTTGGGAGTGTTTTCTCGAATGTGAGTAAAGGTTGGGCATGTTTGCTAGTCTACCTTGCCACGAAGCACAGAGGTTGACACACAGGGACTTTCCAATTATCCAGCAGTGGTACTGTTCCTTTACCCTTGTGGGTAATAATATGGTAGCTAGACCTTCAAAATTTATGTGTCTAAACTTTGTTAGTGCTGTTTCTTTGCTATTCTTTTACCTTTCTTGGTCAGAGCGATGTAGTGGGAGCTGCAAGCTTCACGTGCTCAACTTTGGCAGAGAACTTTGGCAAAGTTATCTGTGGTACCCATGAGCTATTGTTGCGTGTGGGAAGTGGGTGATTGAACAGTAAGATTCATGTGCTTTCTACTTCACCAGAAGTCTTCGACAGAATGCCCATAATTTCTGCAAAGCTGAGTGTGCGTGTGACAGGTGCTGACAAGGCTAGAAAAGTAGGTGCCTCTTCGATTTCTGAGATCGGCCCTCGTGGTCTCTGAGCAGCCCAGCTTTTGAGAAAGCGAGCGCCTCTTCGATTGATTCGGAGAACGATGCCTCATCGATTTTTGAGAAAGCAATCATGCTGGGGGTCTGGCTCTCGAAGATTCGGGGAGCAGTGTCTCTTCGATTTTTGAGAAAGTAATCATGTTGGGAGTCTGGCTCTCGAGATTCGGAGGGCGGTGCCTCTTCGATTTTGGAGCAAGCAATCTTGTTGGGAGTGTTTTCTCGAATGTGAGTAAAGGTTGGGCATGTTTGCTAGTCTACCTTGCCACGAAGCACAGAGGTTGACACACAGGGACTTTCCAATTATCCAGCAATGGTACTGTTCCTTTACCCTCTCTTCGATTTTTAAGAAAGTAGTCATGTTGGGAGTCTGGCTCTCGAGATTCGGAGGACGGTGCCTCTTCGATTTTGGAGCAAGCAATCTTATTGGGAGTGTTTTCTCGAATGTGAGTAAAGGTTGGGCATGTTTGCTAGTCTACCTTGCCACGAAGCACAGAGGTTGACACACAGGGACTTTCCAATTATCCAGCAGTGGTACTGTTCCTTTACCCTTGTGGGTAATAATATGGTAGCTAGACCTTCAAAATTTATGGGTCTAAACTTTGTTAGTGCTGTTTCTTTGCTATTCTTTTACCCTTCTTGGTCAGAGCGATGTAGTGGGAGCTGCAAGCTTCACGTGCTCAACTTTGGCAGAGAACTTTGGCAAAGTTATCTGTGGTACCCATGAGCTATTGTTGCGTGTGGGAAGTGGGTGATTGAACAGTAAGATTCATGTGTTTTCTACTTCCCCAGAAGTCTTCGACAGAATGCCCATAATTTCCGCAAAGCTGAGTGTGCGTGTGACAGGTGCTGACAAGGCTGGAAAAGTAGGTGCCTCTTCGATTTCTGAGATCGGCCCTCGTGGTCTCTGGGGAGCCCAGCTTTTGAGAAAGCGAGCGCCTCTTCGATTTCTGAGATCGGCCTTCGTGGTCTTTGAGCAGCCCAACTTTTGAGAAAGCAAACGCCTCTTCGATTTCTGAGATCAACCCTCGTGATCTCTAAGCAGCCCAGCTTTTGAGAAAGCAAACGCCTCTTCGATTTCTGAGCAGGCGCCTCTTCGATTTCTGAAGCTCCGTCGAGTGCAGATTTTTATAGGGCTGGCATTAAGTTCCAAAGCACACTTGAATCTCCACCAGTAGAAAGCTTCATTCTTGCACTTCTAAGATCTTGATTTGTCCGACCTCTTCTCTCTTCAACACCTTTGAAAATGTCTGGCCCCTCCGACCGTCGTTTTGACTTGAACCTTGTTGAAGAGGCAGCCCCGCCTTCTCCAGACAACATATGGCGCCCATCCTTCGTCTCCCCTACTGGTCCTCTTACCGTTGGGGATTCCGTGATGAAGAATGATATGACCGCTGCGGTGGTGGCCAGGAACCTTCTCACTCCCAAAGATAACAGACTACTTTCCAAACGGTCTGATGAGTTAGCTGTTAAGGATTCGCTGGCTCTCAGTGTTCAGTGTGCAGGTTCTGTGTCTAATATGGCCCAACGCCTATTTGCTCGAACCCGCCAAGTTGAATCATTGGCGGCTGAAGTGATGAGTCTCAAACAGGAGATTAGAGGGCTCAAGCATGAGAATAAACAGTTGCACCGGCTCGCACATGACTATGCTACAAACATGAAGAGGAAGCTTGACCAGATGAAGGAAACTGATGGTCAGGTTTTACTTGATCATCAGAGATTTGTGGGTTTGTTCCAAAGGCATTTATTGCCTTCGTCTTCTGGGGCTGTACCGCGTAATGAAGCTCCAAATGATCAACCTCTGATGCCTCCTCCTTCTAGGGTTCTGTCCAGTACTGAGGCTCCAAATGATCCCCCTCCGGTGCCTTCTCTTTCTGGGGCTCTACCGACTGCTGAGACTTCTCCTAAGCAACCTTTGTGAAGGCTCCCTCTTGTGTGTTTATTTTGACTCATGTATATGTACATATTTGTAGCTTATCGGGGATATCAATAAATAAGCTTTCCTTCATTTCAACGTATTGTGTTAAATACACCAAAGCCTTCTTCGCTAAGTTCTTTGAATTTTCTTTTGTTGAAGCTTGTATGTTGAAGCTTTCTGAGTGGAGCATGTAGGTTGGGGTAGTGTTCCCTTAATTTCCCGAGTGAGGAAAACTTCTCGGTTGGAGACTTGGAAAATCCAAGTCACTGAGTGGGATCGGCTATATGAATCTTAGAACGCCATTGTGCTCGATCCTGTGTCATGTCCTTCGTTAGATCCAAGTACTCTAAGTCTTTTCTTAGAGTCTCTTCCAAAGTTTTCCTAGGTCTTCCTCTACCCCTTCGGCCCTGAACCTCTGTCCCATAGTCGCATCTTCTAATCGGAGCGTCAGTAGGCCTTCTTTGCACATGTCCAAACCACCGTAACCGATTTTCTCTCATCTTTCCTTCAATTTCGGCTACTCCTACTTTACCCCGGATATCCTCATTCCTAATCTTATCCTTTCTCGTGTGCCCACACATCCAACGAAGCATCCTCATCTCCGCTACACCCATTTTGTGTACGTGTTGATGTTTCACCGCCCAACATTCTGTGCCATACAGCATCGCCGGCCTTATTGCCGTCCTATAAAATTTTCCCTTGAGCTTCAGTGGCATACGGCGGTCACACAACACGCCGGATGCACTCTTCCACTTCATCCATCCAGCTTGTATTCTATGGTTGAGATCTCCATCTAATTCTCCGTTCTTTTGCAAGATAGATCCTAGGTAACGAAAACGGTCGCTCTTTGGTATTTCTTGATCTCCGATCCTCACCCCTAACTCGTTTTGGCCTCCATTTGCACTGAACTTGCACTCCATATATTCTGTCTTTGATCGGCTTAGGCGAAGACCTTTAGATTCCAACACTTCTCTCCAAAGGTTAAGCTTTGCATTTACCCCTTCCTGAGTTTCATCTATCAACACTATATCGTCTGCGAAAAGCATACACCAAGGAATATCATCTTGAATATGTCCTGTTAACTCATCCATTACCAACGCAAAAAGGTAAGGACTTAAGGATGAGCCTTGATGTAATCCTACAGTTATGGGAAAGCTTTCGGTTTGTCCTTCATGAGTTCTTACGGCAGTCTTTGCTCCTTCATACATATCCTTTATATAGCTTGGATATATGCTACTCGTACTCCTTTCTTCTCTAAAATCCTCCAAAGAATGTCTCTTGGGACCCTATCATACGCTTTTTCCAAATCTATAAAGACCATGTGTAAATCCTTTTTCCCATCTCTATATCTTTCCATCAATCTTCGTAAGAGATAGATTGCCTCCATGGTTGAGCGCCCTGGCATGAACCCGAATTGGTTGTCCGAAACCCGTGTCTCTTGCCTCAATCTATGCTCAATGACTCTCTCCCAGAGCTTCATTGTATGACTCATTAGCTTAATACCCCTATAGTTCATGCAATTTTGTACGTCGCCCTTATTCTTGTAGATAGGCACCAAAGTGCTCGTTCGCCACTCATTTGGCATCTTCTTCGTTTTCAAAATCCTATTGAAAAGGTCAGTGAGCCATGTTATACCTGTCTCTCCCAAAAGTTTCCACACTTCGATTGGTATATTGTCTGGGCCTATTGCTTTTTTATGCTTCATCTTCTTCAAAGCTACAACCACTTCTTCCTTCCGGATTCGACGATAAAAAGAGTAGTTTCTACACTCTTCTGAGTTACTCAACTCCCCTAAAGAATCGCTCATTTCATGTCCTTCATTGAAAAGATTATGAAAATAACCTCTCCATCTGTCTTTAACCGCGTTCTCTGTAGCAAGAACCTTTCCATCCTCATCCTTGATGCACCTCACTTGGTTTAGGTCCCTTGTCTTCTTTTCCCTTGCTCTAGATAGTTTATAGATATCCAACTCTCCTTCTTTGGTATCTAGTCGTTTATACATATCGTCGTCGTAGGCCGCTAACTTAGCTTCTCTGACAGCTTTTTTCGCCTCTTGCTTCGCTTTTCTATACTTTTCACCATTTTCATCGGTCCTCTCCTTGTATAAGGCTTTACAACATTCCTTCTTAGCCTTCACCTTTGTTTGTACCTCCTCATTCCACCACCAAGATTCCTTTTGGTGTGGGGCAAAGCCCTTGGACTCTCCTAATACCTCTTTTGCTACTTTTCGGAATACAACTAGCCATGGAATCCCACATTTGGCTAGCTTCCCCCTCTCTATCCCACACACATTGGGTGATTACATTCTCTTTGAAAATGACTTGTTTTTCTTCTTTTAGATTCCACCATCTAGTCCTTGGGCACTTCCAAGTCTTGTTCTTTTGTCTTACTCTTTTGATATGTACATCCATCACCAACAAGCGATGTTGATTAGCCACGCTCTCTCCTGGTATAACTTTGCAATCCTTACAAGTTATACGATCCCCTTTCCTCATTAGAAGAAAATCTATTTGTGTTTTTGACGACCCACTCTTGTAGGTGATCACATGTTCTTCTCTCTTCTTAAAGAAGGTGTTGGCTAAGAAGAGATCATATGCCATTGCAAAATCCAAGATAGCTTCCCCATCCTCGTTTCTCTCCCCAAAACCATGGCCACCATGAAAACCTCCATAGAAGGGGTCAGTCCTGTTGTAGTTTGTTAAACTTGGATTCTTGGAACTAGGATCATAAAATGAAACACCGAGACCCGGCTTTCTATTATTTTTTTTGTGAAAGAGTAGGACGTGGCTTTCTTAGAGGTCGCACTTGGTGCGATGGCAAGTGCCTTCGCCCATGAGCGGTAGGTCTCGGGTTCGAGACTTGGGAGCAGCCTCTCCATAAATGGGGGTAAGGCTAGCCGACATTCACCTCTCCCAGACCCTGCGTAAAGCGGGAGCCTTGTGCACTGGGTACGACCTTTTTTATTAGCCGAGAGCATAACGTGTTATGTTATGTATGTTACAGATGATGATCTCTGTGCAATTTCAATCAAGAAGACATGAAATTAGGCCAAGTTTCAAAAAAAAAAAAAAAAAAAGCAAACTGAAGCCACTCAATATCAGAGCCAGGTTTCGATCCTGGGACCTGTGGGTTATGGGCCCACCACGCTTCCGCTGCGCCACTCTGATTGTTAACATATGCGAACCTATATACAATATTTATATGAAATCAGGAAGATCGTCGAGAGGAATGGTAGTATTGTTTGGGATTTAGTCGCGTGTGAGTCAGGTAACAAGCGAAACACTCACAGATATATTTTTTTAAGTTCTTTCCATCTCACGTTGGTCCCTAAACTTTTTGATTGTGCGATTAACAAGGGCAGAAATAAACTTTTGTTACAAAAGTTGAGAAAATGACACACAATAATTTTTAAAGGCATTTTATTGTTCCACTTTTGATCAAAACGTCCTCTGCCTACTACTACGTAAATTCTTGTGCCTATATTTTTAGCTAGCTTACCCATTGAAAAATTTCTGATTCCGTTCTTGCTCGAATCTAATGTATATGCCAACTAAAAACAAAAACTAGTGGAATAGAATAGCACCCACCACTAATCCTATTAATTTTGGAATCCATGCCACTATTGTCCTCATTAACAAATTCTTAAGCGCTCATGGATCAACTTGGGACGAAAAAATTGAAGACCAAAGTGAAACCACCTCTAAAGCAAAAATGCTAGTTTTATTGCACATTTGTACTATTTTTTTAATATATATGAGACTTATATGTGTTGATGAACTCTGCTTCTATCAGACCATCTCCAACCTATGGGATAAAACTTAAATTATAAACCCCCCTCCAAAAAAAAAAACCATCTCCAACCATGAGCTAAAATAAACCATGGGGAGAAAATATATCTCTAGGTTAGATTCCTCCTAGAATTTAAGCATGACTTAAATTATTCTAGACCCACCAAACTGTCATATTTCAAACTTTTTTTTGTTTTTTTTACTTATGATCTAACAGCTATGATCAAATGAAATCAAATTTAATAGTAAAAAAAAAGATTTGACGGCCCAAAACTAAATCTAACGTCTAAAATAATTTAAGAAAATAATTTAAATCAATTTAAAGTAAAAATGTATAAACACCTATGTATTTGTATGATTTTAATTACTTATCGGAATTTAAATATTTTTAAATTAAAATGTTCATAAAAATAAATTAGGATAATCTACATAACATTTATTTTCAAAAAAAGTTACCAAAAACAAAAAGTTAGGCTAAAATAATTGTTTAATAATCTTAGGTTAAAATTTTAAGGCACAAGGGTTGGACGAGAAAAACATTTTTTAACTTAAGACTTAAAATTCTCTGGCTTTACCCCAAGAGTTGAAGATGATCTTAGAGAAATGATATAGATACGTGGTAAGTATAGCCGGCTAAAGTTGAGGACCAGATTTGAAATAAATTATTTTATAAATAAAACAATAAAAAATAAGATAGAATAAAGAAAATCTTGTCCAAAAATCCTAACCGCCAATATCAGCATCCAACGGCGCGCGTGAATATCGCGCCTAAACATTAGTGCTTGCCCCTCCCTCTCTCTTTCTTATCTCCTTGTCATAAATTGAAAGACTCTGTGTTGGTGATTCGATTTCCTGAGATTCAATCCTTCCCCTTCCTTTCTCCCTCCATTCTTCACCTTCATCCTCCAAATTTCACTACCCATTTCATCTTTTTCCCAGAAATTCAAATCCGCTATTCAAAAATCCATCGCACTTCAAAATCCCAAAAAATTCAAATTCCATTGTTTTCAAAATGTGCTGCCACCTTCTTCCTGCTCGGTACGATTAATTTCAGTACCCACAAATCCATCCATTCCTTGAATTCAATCCACATTTTTATAATTACACATTTTTTTTCTTTTCAAATTCGTTCAAATTTCAATTAAATCGCATTTGGGTCTCTGTTTTCTTCTGCAAAATTTCCCAGAATATAACAGAAACAGAGTAATCCAACAAAATGGCGCAACAACCGCCAATAAGACCGGTGGTGCACAAACCGCCGGGATACCGAGACCCATATCAACCGGGCCGACCCGTACCCGGACAACCACCCCGGAAACCCAATGTCCCCCCTTCCTTCCGCCCAAAGCGCAGCCGGGGGAGTAGATGCTGCCGCATATGCTGCTGCGTCTTCTGCACCTTCCTCCTCATCGTCATCATCGTCGTCGCCCTCGCCGGCGGTATCTTCTACCTCTACTTCGACCCCCGCCTCCCGGCCTTCTACCTCCTCTCCTTCCAGATCCCCAAATTCGACCCCGTCTCCAAGACCGACGGGACCCACCTGGACGTCCAGGCTGTTACCAGCGTCGAGGTGAGGAACCCCAACCCGAAACTCGACATCTTCTACGGCGAGGGGATCGAGATGCACGCGATCCTTGGGGACGAGAACGACGTCGGGATGGGGCTGGGGTCGAAGCAGCTTAGAAGGTTCACGCAGATGCACCGGAACACGACGAATTTCAAGATGGATATGAGGGTGAGGAATAAAGTGGTGGATCAGACGGTCGGGCGGAGGCTGGCGGCGCAGCTGAAGAGTAAGGAGATAAAAGTGGCGGTGGAGGGAAAGACGAGGGTTGGGTACGTGATCAAAGGGTGGAGGATTGGGACGGTGAAGATCAATGTACTGTGCGGCGGCGTGAAGTTGAAGGTGGTTGATGCAGGGGAGATGCCTAAGTGCACCATCAATGCATTCAAATGGTAATTATTTATTTTGAATTTTGCATGTGTGTTCGCGTTTTAGATTTTTTCTTTTAATATGGCATATACACTAGTCACATCATATCATGTGGTATATAAATATGTTCTTTGTGATGTTATTGCGTTTTAATTGTCTTTGAATTTTAATAACAAAAGATCAAAGCGATAGTAAACACTAATTACATTAAGTGAAGAAGAATGATTTGAATTCGAAATGTAGTGAATTGAAAAGAAAATTCTTAATCACCGTGAAAATTCACCACTTAGAGGTGTTTGGGAAGTTTGAATAGCATTCTCAAAAAGTAAAGGTCCATAATTGTTAGCTATCACATTGAAATATATACTTAGCATTTTCAGAGGAGGTGTCAAAAATTCTGGAATATTTTGACAAAAATAAGTGATTTTCTGGTTCCTAAGGAGATGTCAAGATCTTACATGAATTGACATACTCCACTTTGATGCCAAATTTGAAGGCAACGTAAAATTATTTTCTTTTTGTTTTATTTTAATGGTGGCCCCACTTATTTCTTTATTTTCTTTACATATTAATTATTTTATTATTAAATTCTGACCTACTTGATTTTATAAATAACCAAAAACATTTTAATTTGACATATCGGTTGGAATATGAAACTTTACCCACTGTTATTATGCCTACCATTTACATGCTCAATAAATATAATGGATTTTAAAAAGAGAGTGCATGCCCAAGTGGCCTTTTATACTCTTGTATGGAATATTAAGCGCAGTAATGATGTCAATCTGTGTGTGCACCTTGCAGGATCAACATTCGTTGATGTCATGATGCTCACATAACATGTTCAACTGATGACAAAACAAGGGAGAGTTTGATTTGGTCAGCTCATCGATCACCTACCTGGATCCTGCAACTTTCAAGCAGACATCTTATACAAAAATCATATATTCTTTGGTGTTTCAAAAATAGGAAAAAGAATAGGAGGGGGCAGTATCTATGTGTTCATCTAAATTCCAAAACGAAGGCTAACATGATTTCGATCCTTCTGATGCAATTGGAATTAGATCGATTTAGAAGGAGCATGGGTTGAAATTTTAATTATATATATATATATATATATATATATAAATTTTTTTTTTCTTATAACAAAGCTTGTTTGGCTCCGGACATTTTGCCATATGTATGTATTTGTAAACTAAAAAGTTGTGACATCTTTTTATTAGTTTGGTAAAAGTTGGAGACAACTTATGGACGACTACAAAAGAGGGGCTGCCTCATAAAGAAAAGGAAAGGAAAGGAAGCTAAGGCCAGAAGACAGTTTGTGTCGTGGGGAATGGACTTCATTTCCGCAGACTGTGTCAAATGTTGATTCATAAATTTTGATCACCTAAAGTAGTGAGCGTGAGCCCATCCAACCTAAGGAAGTTTGTACTTGGGGATTCGGAGCCTCGGGTCCTATGTACCGATGTAGCTGTGCTGAAAGCCTTGCCTTAACGTGGCAATGGTTCGCTAATGTGGACCAGGATCCTCTCCGAATCCTTTATGTGCGGACCTTGAGGACGATCTTGCTCCTCATTTTCTTCACATCTCTCATTTCTTCTTCCTCTCTTTTTCTCCACCTTCACGGACCTCTGCAGTTCCTAACAACCCACACTGCCTACTCCAACCCCTTTTCTTCTCCTCTCAATCCCTCTCCCACAACACACACATGTGACAAGATGACGCCGCATGAGTGAGGACGACGATCTTGCTTCAGAGTTGCAGAAGAAGAAGGGAGAGAAAGGGGGAGAGAGTAATGTAGGTGTTAAACAATTTTGGGAACGGATTGGTGAGAGAACTAAAGAAGAGGGAAAAGGTAGTGAACAAGAGGTTGGGCGGGACCATAACCAGGGGTGGAGCCATGAAGGGACTAGAATGGTCCCAGGCCTACCTTGACATCTTTTTCACACATAAACAATGAGAGTTATCCCTTTAATTTTCAAAGATTTTTCAAGGTATTAGAGCCCTAACAAAAATCTTTGCCTTATTCCTTTAATGGGTTCGATTTGAGGTTGGTGGCTCTTAATGCAATTAACCAGCGTCACAGTCAATTTTGAGGAACTCAGGTGATCAAAAGAGGGAGAGAGAGGAAGTAGGCAAGAGAGCTGGTTTTTATTTTTATTTTTTATTTAATTCCTTGAAGTCTTTTAATACTGTTACTTTTGCTTTTTATTTCTTCCTTTTTTTATCTGTTCCCCTCCTCATTCCTTTCTTCTTCCACTAAGGGACTTTTATTTTGAATGTGAGTCATGATAATACAGGGTTGAGTTGAGGAAGAGGATGACAAGAACGACGTCATACTAAACCCAAATGATGGTGGTTTGTAGTTAGAACACAGCATATCCTTATTTTTCTTAAATCAGAAGAGCGTTATAGGTGAGACTTTTGGCCCCTCCTGAGCCAAAATTCTAGCTCCGCCACTGACCATAACATTCGATCTGTGGTGAATGATTTGATTCGGTTCAAACAAACTAAGTTGAACATAATCAAACTAATTGCGATTTGGTTAAATCACAAAAGAAGATATGAACTTTAATGCAAAAAGAGGGAATATCTGAATCTTTCTACCATACTATCGTACCTCATAAAATAAGACTGATTCTAGTCTGCACATTTAGTTTAAAACACAAAGTAAATTGCTTGAACCAAAATAGCTA